CACCTTTGCATAGCATTAATTAAGCAGTTTCGAACCAAAATTTTGGTGGTTGTTATTATGGTAATTTTCTAAGGACAGCAAGGACAAGGCGGTGCTTGTAACGGGGCAATCTTTGGTAGGGGTGTCGCAAAACTTTACGTACTCTAGTTCGTGCAGAAAAAGCTAATCTACTCAACAGCTAGTTTGAGTAAAGGTAAAGAGAGAACTGGTTTTAATGTAAGCATACAACGCGGCGCTTGTGATGGGGCACCCTTTGTTTGGGGTGCCCCGAAACTTTACGTACACTAGCACGTGCAAAGGAAGATAATCTTCTCAAACAGCTTGTTTGAGTAAGGGTAAAAAGAGAATTGTATTTAATGTCGATGAGATGTCAATACGACTTAAGTCTTTGTCTAACTATTTTAGCTACGTCGTCGCACGACAACAACCTGCTTTAGACTCATTATGTGCGTCTAGCGGCGATTATTCGTATTCTTGGCTGAAAAGTATTTTGTCAGCCGAACTTTAAGTAGCGCCTGGATGTTATCCTAAGGGATAAAATTCCTTCAATATTACCCATCTCGGGTAATATTGCCAGGGAATTGTCACGCTAGACAATCTCCATAATGACACCGTTTGGTGTCAATATCATGCAACGGGCTACCCCGTTACATTACCTTCTCCTTAACCATCAATTACCTGTTTATTGAATTTAACTAGTTGGGACAGGGTGATCACCGTTAGATCACTCTGGGAAGGGGAGCACTTGCTGCTCAAGTTCCAACTTATCTTCCGATTTATCGCATGGTGTCAAAGTCCATGCGATGTGCCGTCGAAAGAGTACTTTCCTGACTTCAGCAGCAAGCGATACTTCTCCTGCTTTTGTAAATGGTCCACGTGGTGAGTCACCACTTGAGACAGACACATCCGCTGCGCTCGCAGCGGGTGCTGCGACTCGCAATGTGGATAGGCCTGGAACGGAGCTCATCTATTCTGGCAATTTAGTTGATGCATGTGACTCAAAGGAGACACTTACACCTCCGTACCATCCGATGTGGGCACTGAAAGAGCCAGATTGACTGGATCCGGGGAACGTGGCGGCATCATGTCCGAAATATTCGGACCGAGCGATTCGTCTGACAAATGCCCGTCTCACGCAAGTCCACCTGACACTAGGACGCGTGGTAATTGGCGGTGACGCACCTATACGTGACCACAAGAGACAACATGAGGGATAGAGCTGCTACTTGTGTCAGGGCTCATGCCGAAACCACTCAAGAGACCAGGGACCGCAATGTCGTGCACCACGCTCCTCAAGTGGGGTCTCATTATATTCCATCATTAGAGAGTTGGATCGAGTGGCCGTTTTTCTAACCGAACGGGATCGAATCCCGTTTATCGACTGTAGGAGGATCTGTCCTCCTAATTTCAGCACGAGAACTATCCGTTACTAAGAAGAGTTCTTCACCGATGCGTTTTTCAAATATCGGTGGTACAATAGCAACCGTGTTCGAGACGGCAAGGCCTTGGTGCAAGGATGGAATGTCTTGACTCATAACTCCGATTGCATTGGCCGTGAGGCATGGCTCGATATACTTGATGCAGCTCGTATCAGTTTTGAAAAGCGTAACACAGTTGGTGTACGATAAAGGTTTCACCATCTGTCAAAGAGAGACAGGATTATCCTGAAGCTAGTGGGTCGATTCTTGTCCAGGATGCCTCGACATTGCTAATCGCGCACTTAGGGAGGCCTCACATCTTAATTGTATTAACCGAAGGGCGCATATCTCTTCTGAGATGGCCGAAGGGATTGATACTTTGCAATTCCTGTACTCACGTTCGAGGAGGTCGTTTTACGACGACCCTTCTTCGATCGCAGCGAGTAGGTCTCTTCATTTTGCTCGTTTAGACCCAGAACATCACCGATCAACTGGGCGCGAGGCTCCCAGCTGTCCCAAACTGGTGGATTGCCACCTCAGCTAACGAAGGAACTTAACCGGACACCCTTCACGTCTCAGTGGCTCAAACGAGCTCCACCAGAAAGTGTTGACCATCGCCAGAATCCACCAAAGGATGTGGTGGTGACGGGAATGCCTGATCCGGCTCGAGGGTCGGATCAGCACGATGTTCAGGAACTGAATCGTGCAACGGAAAAGTTACACTAAGACTTGGCTCATGAGTGGACTCGGCGTTACGATCTCCGTGATATTGAAAAGGATAATTACAGTCTCTTAGCGCACAATAGTATAACAGATTGTGCCGCGTTTGCATTTGCGCAACTTGAAACCGGATGTTCGATTAGTTCTTTTTGTAAGGAGCTGACTGCATCTAGTAAGAACATCGCTCAACTGAGTGAACAGGTTGCTTTGCGAGTCGGCCAGTCTAGTTTGTTAAAACAAGACCAGTCGAAGGTGGTCTCGGCCCTTGACCGCGGAGGTATTCTTTGCCTCTCGAAACGGGCTCGTACTGATAGTGCGGGCGGAGAAGTCCACGTAAAACGTAGGATGAATACGCATGCTAAGAGCCAGTTCAATCGTTTACGCGTTTTTCATGCGAGCATTACACGAAATGGACCGATGTAACTGGGCAGTAATTTACTGCTGCCCACTTTTGTCACTACGTGCTGCGGTAAGTTTACTGTATGCAGTAAAACTAGGTCTCCTTCATCAAATGAAAGAACATTTGCTCTTCCATGTTTGTCTACGTTTCTTTCCGGTTTTCAAATGCGTCTGCAATAGAGTCTTGAACGAAGCGGATAACCGCTTCGCGAGTCAGCAGAATTCCTCTGCTGATTAATCCTTGTCAACAGCAGTGCGCTTCGTGTGCACTGCTGAAAGAACGTTGTCTTCACCAGTGAGGGTTTCATCATCCTCACTGTGACAGTCATTGATGATGCTGAATATACCAGCATCGCCGTCATCGTAATCATCGATATCGATCGCATCGACAACGGCATCGGCATCCATCATCTCGACACCATTGTTGACGGGTGATGAGCTAGAACCAGATCGGATTTTTTTCGAGCAAGTCTACCCCCCCCTTAAACGAGAGTCACACACTAAGAAGGCGGGTAAACGTGGATGGCGTAGGTCATTCACGAAGAACGGTATGTGCTTTGTCGACGCGTGCACCGAGTTGTTGATGGCGAATTCCGCCATCTGCAAGAACTCACTCCAGCTCGTAAACGAGTGGACGTACCCTCGAAGTATCTCTTCGAGAAAGCACTTAACGCGTTCCGTCCGACCATCTGTTGAAGGATGATCAGAAGTTGACATCTATAAACGTGTTCCAAGCGAACGAAACACAGATTGCCAGAACTCCGCTGTGAAGCGGGAGTCTCTGTCAGACACGAGTTCACGGAGTAACCCGTGAAGTCGGAAGATAGAATCGATGAAGACACTAGCACAGCCCTGGGCTGCGACCGACTTTGGCACAGAAACAGTACGTACCATCTTGCTGTACCGATCACCAGTATTATTTTTGAGCGTCTTAGAGAAACCCAAAGACGAATCCCATCGGTACGGACTTCCAGCACTCTAATAGAATAGTAGAGGCTGGCAAGGGTGCACGGGATGAAGGACTATGCTTCACCCGTTGGCAAACTCCGCAAGCGCGAATGCATTTGCGAACAAACTCATAATGGCTTGGCCAGTAAAAGTAACGACTTACCGCGAGGTAAATCTTTTCTGTACCGCGATGCCCACTGGTTAGGGCATCGTGACACTCATACATGATGCGCCATCGCAAATCATCGTTAGCGGGAACGACGACACGAGGCGTGTCGCCAGTGAATGCTGTATAGTACCGCAGTCCATCACAAACCGAATACTGTTCGGTTGAAACGCGGTATTGGAACGTCAAGCTTTTCAAAGCTTGACTGCATGAATAAGGTAATCTATCTGTCAATTGCAGAAAATACTCATTTTCTGCGTATGCTTTCCGCACGTTGTCGCGAGATTCGACGACGAAACACTCAATAATATTGTTGCAACAGTGGGATCACCCCTAATGTTAGGTCGAGCGTTCAGCTCGAGAGCGGGCCAACGCGAAAGAGCATCAGCGACAACTTTAAGTCGTCCTGGTTTTTACTCTACGAAAAAATTGTACTACGCGAAGAAATAAATCCACCTCGCCATTTGTTGCAAGAGGTGTGGACTGTTTACTGCCGTGCGTAATGAAGCAAAGTCGGCACAAAAAAGTGAAGGGCCTATTTCAACGGGGCTACAATAATCCGTTTTAAACTTACACTATCTACTGCTTTGAGGAAGCCTCAAAGCCCAATCTTAGGTGTTATGTACTTTTACCTCTGTTAAAAAAATTGTAATTTGTCATCCTAAGTACGAATTGTTCCCTTGAACTCATGGGAACCACTCAATCCACGTGCCGATATCTTACTAGATAATAATGGGATCTAGCCTATTAAACCAGCTAAAATATACATCATGCTACTTTCAGAAACTCAGAAGTAGCTCCCCTGCTTAAGTAACATGTAAGCTTAATCGAAACTGCTTCTGTAACAGGGTGGACCATTACATCACCCCTTTCTCAAAAGATTACTTACGAAATGTGAGTGCTCAACTGCAAGACGGTCGATGGACACTCAAACCAAACGATGAACAAAGACGCGAACACCAACGCATTAGCACTCCCGCGCAATCAGCAAAAGATCAGCAGGCCACTCCCGCGCACAATCAACGGGAGTTCATCAGACCACTGATGAATCAGCACCTGATCCCTTAGGCTCTATACGACCTTTCTAAAGCACGAGGTCCGGAATCTCTTGAAACTATGTCGGATTACTTCCGGCGCTTCCGCGGTTACGAAGAAATTTTTTAAGGCATCTAGCATGACTCGCTGCAGCGTTTTTGGTGCGCGTTCATCCAGCGGTGAAACTGAATGCTTAATGATGAAAGGAAATTCCAACATTGGCTTGCCAATCTCGAGGGACTTGACGCCGATCACTTTATTGGCGTGCTGCGCTAGAAGTTATGCGAGAACGCGTGAAACGTAGACCGAATCTGCTACGTCCACGTGCACGAAATCTTGTTACTCTTGTGACTAAATGCCAAGTCCAACTCGCGCAGATTGGCGACAGCATGTCGCTGAGTATTCACTCGGCGAATACGAACAGCTCTGGATTGGAAAGTATGGACGCAGCTTGCAAGAGCGGAAGACCGCAGTAATTCGTGGCGCGACGATACGGCGGTACCACTCTCGTTCGCGTAGTCGTTATGATATCCTTTGACCACGACGCTGTCGTCGTCGCTCTCTGTCTTGTTGTCGTGAAGACGTTTTATCATGAAGTAGCAGTCGTCGATCTTGGTTTCATAGTCGTGGTGACTATTAACCACGACTTTATATTCATTGCTTTTGACCTCGACGTTGTGGTGACACTTCACCACGACGCCGTCGTCGTTCGTCTCGTTCTCGCTAGCCACGAGAGCACAAATGTCGTCGGCCACATCAAGGTGAATCATATCCACTGACTCGTACTCCTGGACGACGTCTGTAAAGTCTCAAAGAAGACAGGAGCGCGGTTCCCAAATATCCTGCTCGAAAAAAAACCTGAGCCAACATAAACAATAATTGCGCGCGGTTGGAAGCGCGCTTGCATGAGGTCGCAACGATGACACTTCGCGACAAGGGTCCTCATGATTCATTAAGCGCTCTACGACCAGTGCTTATGTCCTTCCGCATCCGCAAGCGGCGGCGGGCCCTCTCGATGATAGCGTTGGCTTCCTGGTTGCCTAGGACGATGTGGAAGCGGAGATAAACAAGGCTGTCGATGCCCAGCTGGAATCTGAGGCTGCAATTGAGCGTGATGCGCGGGCTTAGAGAACTGCAAGCGAGGTTTGACAGTCGAACCGCAAACTGATAAAACTGATAAGAAATCAAAAGCCAGATTCTTGGGCACGCGCAGACTAAAACGCAGCCGTGTCCGATGTCATCGTTGCGTCGAGCAAGACGGGAGGGAAGGCCGACGTTTTAGCTTTTGCTTCCAAGTTTAAAATTAACCCGTAACGCACAGCCAGAAAGTACAACTTCAGTCGCCCGACGTAGAACGTTGGGTGTAGTCGCAGCGACAAAAGGATGTCCAGCGTGTAAGCGTCGACGATCTCTGTGAGCACCGTAAATGGACCGAAAGAAATGTGACTCTAGATTACTCGCGCCTAAATTATTAGCTGCCAAATCGCGAAGGCTTTCTATAGATAGCCAATAAAGGTTAACTAGCTTGAATTGTTTTTGTTCATCCGCCACGTTTGTCTGCATTCTCTTTTGTTCATTCCTTGCAGATCGAAGAGAGTCTCGTTCGAATTTCAAGACAGCTTGACGTTAAAGTATGAACACCGATACAGCCATGTCATTAATCGACCGCGCCACCCAATCGGTGCGTTGTTGGCTATAGGTGAGCGCATATTTGAAAAAAGTTCAATCAGTAATTGCGCAGTCCATCGAGCTAGCGGAGACGCCACATTATGTGGCGTCAAAACAGCGGACTTCGCCTTAAAAAGGGTGACGACACTCGCGCTCAAATACCGTGAGCTGCTCTCAATCGTTGAAAATCACGTTCTTCTCCCTCTAGAGTGTAGTCACGAAGTGTTGTGGAACTCGAGAGTGACGAGCCGAATTTGCAAAGAATGGCGGCAACCCCGTTGACGCTTATACAGCGTTGTCGAGTGCAAATCAGCGAGTGGCAAGAATGCACTTCAACGCGTGAAGGAAGTGCAAAACTTCGAAGAAAAACTTCGAGGTCCCGTTTGACCCGCTCTGTTTGCCCACTCGTTTCTGGATTGGATGTCGTCGACAGTTGCAACTTTGTGCCAAGGATGTAACGGGGCACCCTGAAGCTTGTACTGGTGACAGTACAAGCTACTTATTCTGATAACAGAATAAGGCGGTGCCTCGTAACTTCACGTACACTCGTACGTACAGAGGAAGACGGTAAGAAGAAGCGAGTACTTGGTTAAAGTAAAAAGTAGAACTGTATTTATAATAGATAATGTCTGCAATAAATCACTATTTATCTTCATCTAACTATGTCTAAATACAAATGTGTAAATCAGTTATCTGCTCACCACTCATTGCGTGCGTCTGTCGTGGCGCGTCTTCGTTGGTTGATATAATGGCCTATATCAACCAATTAGGAACTACTCGTAAGTGCTACAGAATATTTGTCCTTATGACAATATTCTGAGAATATAACTCTTATAGTTATATTCTATTAGCAATTTCTTATAAATTGTTATGTAACGATTCACCCCGTTACATCACCCCCCCTTAACCATCAGTCACTTTAGTGACTGATTGACTAAATGGATACTCGTCCCAAATCATTTGGGACAGGGTTTGCACTTGTTGGTCCGCGTCCACTTTCCAACAATTCATCGCATGGTTAACAAGCCCATGCGATGCGCGAGCAAGGCCGCCGAGAGCGCGTCCGCACGTCTCTGTGCGGACGCCGAAGCAGAAACCACAGCAACTGATGTCTCATCGGTTGCTGAAGCGACGCAGCCTGTGTCACTTGGTGATGCAAGCGCTGGTCATGAAGACACTCATTTCTTCACAGAGTATGAGCTCGGTGTCTCATACTCTCCTGATACGGAAGAGGAATCGGTATCGAAGGCGATTGAATCCAAGCCACCTGCCAAGCGTGGCATGGATGATGCTATGCGTCGCAGCATCTTTGGTCCATCTGACGAATCAGAAGAACCATCGCCGAAGCGAAGGCACTCGAGGTCGCGAGACTCGGGCGCTAACAGTGGTGTCGGTTCTCCTATTGACACCACTTCGCAGCGAGGTGCCAGTCCTTCTGTCGGCACGTCGCAGGAAGAGCGGGACCGCAATGTCTTTGGTCTCGCTCCCGAAAAGAAGGCATGGATGCCTCAAAAATCCGTCATGGATCACTTGTCGGCGACGACCAGTGATCGTTATCGAACACGGTTGTTCGATTCGTCAAGGATCCATCACCTTGACCCCAGTGCGAAAAACTATCGCGCTGAACATGAATCCTTCATCGATGCTTTCTTTAGACATCGATGGTACAGTGGGAATCACAAGCGTGATGGTCCCTCACTACTTCAGGCGTGGAACGCCTACATCCATAACCTCGAGGATGTAGGTCGTGACGCTTGGAACGACAAACTTATCAAAGCTCGTGATAAGTTTGAAAAGCGAACCCCGACAGGTGCACGCTACAAGCTGCATCGTCTGTCAAGGGAGAAAGGATTACCCTGCCTCTCTTGGGGAGACTCGTGCCCATGTTGTGTGAACAACTCTGCACGAGCACCTAAGGAGGCTTACCTCCTTACCAGCCCGTGGTGGCGCGTACGTGTCTCTACTGAGATGTACGAAGGGATTGACAACCTGAAATACCTCTACGACCGTGCCGGGAAGACTTTCTCCGGCGGTCCTTCTGCGGCACAGGATGTGCCGCGTCGTACTGCTCAACCAGACCCAGTACGTCGATCATCAGTTGGGAGCGGGGCTCCCAAGAATCCCAGGACGGGGGATAGCCGCGCCACCGGACGAGATAACTCGTCCGACGTCCGTTCACGTCGCGGTGGTTCAACAGCTGCTCAACTAGATAGCGCTGGCCACCGCGAGAGTCCTCTAATGGAGGTGGAGGAGGAGGAAAGACGCTCTCCACACGATCATGGGGATCCGTGTGTTCCCGAGAGCTTCTTTGATCGCGTAACGCAAGGGTTACGCGACGATCTCGAGCATGAGCGGAATAGGCGTCTCCAGATGGTGGACACTGCCTCGAAGCATCGAGCTGAGTTTGCCTTTGCTCAGCTTGAGAACGAGAGAGCTCTGACATCTCTTCGTGACGAGCTAAGGGTAGCTCGTGGGATTGTTGATCGGTCTCGGGATCAGATAGCTGCTCTTCAGACCCTTGTTGATGCCCACCATCGGGAGCACAAGGCTCTCTGCGAGATGCTTGAGCGCAAGGGCGTTCTTCATCGGAAGAAGCAGCGTACTGATGGTACGGCTTAAGCCGACCAACGTAAAACGTGGGATGCGTTCGCATCTTACGTGGTAACTCGATCGTGTATGCATTGCCTAGGCGGTGCAATACACGAAATGGTCCAATGTACTTGGGTAGTAGTTTACTGCTACCCAAGTTAGTCACTACATGCTTTGGTAGATTAACCGTAGACAGTAGGACTAAGTCACCTTTATTAAATAAAAGAGTGTTTGCCCTTCCATTCTTGTCAGCGTTTTGCTTTTGCTTATCCACCGCTTCGGCGATGGAGTCTTGCACAAAACGGACTACCGTTTCACGAGCCAGTATGAACTCATCTGATGACTCGTTAGCTTCAGTGTGCTGTGAGCGCACTGCAGCAACAACAACCTTTTCTTCAGTGAGGGCTTCCTCTTTCTTCAGTGAGGGCTTCCGCACTCTCACTGGCATCATATTCTTCGATATCGATGTTATCGATATCGGCATCAAACGCAATGACTTCTTCGTCAGAGCGTGATGAGCGTGAAACAAATCGGTTTTTGCTCGCGCGAGTCCCTCCCCCCCTTGAACCAGAGTTACACTCTAGTAAGGTGGGTACACGCGGATGGCGCAAGCCATTCACGTAAAACGGTGTATGTGTCGTGGACGCATGCACCGAGTTGTTGATGGCAAACTCTACCATTGGCAAAAACTCACTCCAACTCTTAAAGGAGTGTACGTATCCTCGAAGTATCTCTTCAAGGACACGATTGGCACGTTCCGTCTGACCATCTGACTCTGGATGATCAGATGTTGACATCTTCAAGCGCGTTCCGAGTGATTTGAACACGGAACGCCAGAAATCAGCAGTGAATCGTGGATCTCTGTCTGATACGAGTTCACGGGGCAACCCATGAAGTCGGAAGATGGTGTCAATAAAGACACAAGCACAGCCACTTGCCGTGATTGTCTCTGGTACAGCCACAAGGTGTACCATTTTGCTGAATCTGTCAACAAATACGAGAATACCCGTATTCCCGCGTGCGTCTTTGGGTAACCCGAAGACGAAATCCATTGAGATGGATTCCCAGCACTCAGCCGGAACCGGTAGAGGCTGTAAAGGTGCACGCAGTGAAGGACTTGACTTCACTCGTTGGCAGACTTCGCATGCGCGAACATACTTTCGCACAAACTGATACTGGCGGGGCCAGTAAAAGTCTCGACTTACCGTGAGATATGTTTTCTCTCGGCCACGATGTCCTCCTATAGGAGCATCGTGATACTCGAACATGATCCGCAAACGCAGATCAGTATCATCTGGAATGACAACACGTGGTGTGTCACCAGAAACGGCTGCATAATACAGTAACCCGTTGCGAGTAGTGTATCGATCTGATGCAGATCAATACGCAGACGACAATCGTTTCAACGATTCTCGAGATGGTTGGGAGAGATGTGTCAACAACTTCACAATCTCACCATCTTGGGCGTATGCCCGCCTCACATCATCATGCAACGTTGAAGATGGGACTGAGGACGTCATAACCGCAACAGTGATTGTCTCACTGTTGGGTTTCACGACTGTTTCAAAGTCGGGACGACGTGAGAGTGCATCAGCGACGACATTAAGTCGTCCTGGTTTGTACTCTACCGTAAAGTTGTATTCTGCAAGAATGACAACCACCGCGCCATTCGTTGTGAAAGGTGCGGGCTATTTACTGCCGTGCGTAATGACGCATGGTCACTATAAGCAATGAAGGATCTATATCCTAGTAGATAGACTCTGAACTTCGCGAGTGTATGCTTCATGGCAAGGAGTTCCTTGTCATGCACTGGATAGTTCCGCTCAGCTGGTTGCAGCTGACGCGACTGATAGCAGACGACGCGTTCAACGCCTTCAAGATCGTACTGCATTAATGCACAGCCGATTGCAAAATCGCTGGCATCACAGACCACATGAAATGGCCTGTCCTGATCGGCTTTGCTAGGACTGGGGATTGTATCAAGCTCTGCTTGATACCATCAAAGGAGCGCTGACATTCAGCGTTCCATAACCACCTCTCGTTCTTTTTCAACAAACGAGAGAGGTGCACAGTCATCTCGGCGTAATTGCGTGAATACTTATGCAAATACGCCGCTAGCCCAAGGCATTTTCGAAGAACTTTGACATCAACCGGCACAGGCTAGTCGGTGATCGCCTTAATCTTTTCGGGATCAGGACGTACTCCGTTCTTACCAACGATGCACCCAAGAAGTGGTATTTCGCTTGCTGCAAATATAAACACTTCTTGAGGTTTGCATACAATTGATGCTTTCGCATGATTGTAAGAACCTGTCGGACGTGGTACTTGTGAACCTCAACGTCCGACTTTCCATCCATAGCTCGACTATGGATGAATACGTCATCGAAATAACTCGGCGCGAATTCTCGTACTGGTCTCAACAGATGTAATACACATCTGTTGAACGTGGTAGGGGCATTACTAAGCCCTCGTCGCATTACTAGCCATTCCCAAAGCATGCCGCTAGGCGTGCTAACTGTGGTATAGGGTATATCCCGTTCTCGCATAAGGATTTGATAGAAGCCATCCATCAAATCCATTGACGAAAAGATGGTAATCTTTGACATGCCATCAATGATTACGTCCTTCCTCGGTTTCGGCGTCTGAGCCGGTACCGTTGCAGCATTCAACTTGTTAAATGCGTGCACTATCCGCCACCCTTCTGTTGCTTTTCATACACAGAAGGTCGGAGAGCTATGTGGGGAAGTTGATTCCCTCACATGGCCCGCAGCTACACGATCGGCAAAGAACTTGTCGATCACAAGTACTTGTTCACGAGGCAGTGGCCACTGCTTCATCACACAGTACTTCGAGCCTGGTTTAAGCTCGACCTCGTGTCGAATACTTTTATCCTTTGGTAATTCGCACGGAACGGTTTCAGGGAATTCATCCTTGAATTCAACCAAATCTTCATAGAGAGGATTTGTCTTGAGCGATTCCCACGATTGGGAGTCATATCGCTCAATTCGTGTCTTTTCATCGAGTACACTCTCGTCCATAGATGAACTACTGAGAACTCTCTCGTTCTCAGTAAACACTGTTGCTGACCTTAAGTCGGCTACACACTCGTCGTCAGCGACGAGTACGCAGATCTGCTTGACTTTGCCACTACGCAGATCACGCAAGAACCTTTTATGTTCGAACGTTGGCAACTGAGTGATCTCCGAAGTCAACTTCGGAGGCGCAATCAGATCAAGTGTATAAGCGCCTACACTTGATCCGTTATTGACTATGACATTCAATGTCTCTGTCATTTCCTGGGGACTTATTCCCTCAGGCCTCGAAGGACTTATTTCTTCGGCTTCCCGGGGACTTATTCCCGCGGGTTTCGGGGAACTTATTTCCGCCGTATTTGTAACATTGGGACTTATTCCCTTTACTTCCTCTAGCTGTGGTTGCGCAATCACAGTGAGATCCTCTACGAAAGACTCTCCAGTCGATCTAGGATTATCGTTTCGCTTAACCTGAGCGATCGATTGTTTCTCTTCTAGATGTTCCCCGCCAGGGATACATCTTTGTCCCGGTCCACTCGACTTATTCGAGTGGTGGACCTTCGGCGCAGCCTGTGTTTCCTCACAGCCGCCGGAACTTTGCTCCAAAGCGTAACCGTTTGGTACACTAAGGTTTTGTGCAGATGTACTAACGACCGTACCACAAGTGAGGCCATCGCACTCACTCGTAGTACATCCACACGCTTGTGGACGCTCCAAAACGTTCATCAGATGGCCATCTGATGAACAAGCGGCAGGCATCGTTACTGTTCGATGTTGCAAGTTTACCCGTGGTTCGTACATTCTGAGCCACGGTATTCCAAGGATGACATCAAATTTGTCATCCAAATCCAATACGATAAAGTCATCGTCATATTGGATAGCTTCTAGCGTATAGTGGATCTTCACTATACGCTTCATGACGGTTACGGATGCACCTGTCGCAAGACGTACCGTCATCCTCGTAGGAGGTGTGTCACATTCACTGAGCTTATAGTGACCATCTTCTAGAGATTGGCGTTGCACAAAATTGTTGAACGCCCCACAATCGACTAGAGCTCGAAGGGATAACTTATTCGTCATTTCGAGTTTCAAGGTAATGAGTGAGATCCCATTACCTGGAGCAGCAACGCACAACGTTTGTGTGTTGGGAGCAACCTTCATCAAGAGGCCTACAAATTCTCTTGACGTTGCTGGACCAGTAGGGTGCTCCGCACCTACTGATCCTGTCCGTTTTTTGACGGTCCATCCCGTTGTTGCATCTTTACACCAACAGCGGACCCTCGTCCCTGCCCCTTTCTCATGGGTGGACGGTCACTACGCCCAGTGTCGCGAGACACTGGACGAGGGGCACTACACTCGTAAGCGTAGTGTCCTGTCTTTTGACATCTGTTGCATCTCTGCAACTTCTTGTAGCCTGTAGAGCGAGCCTTCTCGCTCTCTACATAACAGAGTTCCATCGGCTCTGGACCTCCGTTGTCATATCGTCTCGGTTGACGATATGATGTCGAGCTGGCGCGAGCCTGTCTCAGACTGAAGTCTTCCTGCTCCGCAATGGAAATGGCTTGTTCTAGTGAATCTAGTTCAAGCCGGAACAGGTGAGTCTTGACGGGACCATCCGCAAGACCCTGCATGAACACTGAGAACAACGTGTGTTCATCCACCGGATTGGAACTTATACAACTCGTAAGATGTCGTATATGATGTGCGTAAACGTGCACATCACGCTTACCTTGCTTGAGCTTCAAGAGTTCAGTTCGAGCTCTGAACTCAGCTCTAGGCGGTTCAAACGTTTGTCTGAGCCGCGACTTGAAGACTTCCAACGACCCAAACGCATATGCAACTTGAGCCCCAAAGCCCAAGTCTTGGCACGTCCTGCCAGATTTGACTGAGCAAATGCAACTTGCATATCCCCATCGTCGATGCGACGCGCCCTTATGGCGTCATCCAATTCGACGAACCATCTCTCGAGGGAGTCTTCTTCGACTCCCCTATACTTGGAGATGTCAATCTTCAAGGTTTCGGGTCGACGCGAGTGCATCGACCCACCAGCAGCAGCCTGCTGCTGTCTCAACAGTTCAAACTGTTGAGCACCCTGTTCTCTCAACAACTCTGCTTGTTGAGAACCTTGTGTGAAGCAAGGCTACTTTCTCGCGTTCAGCGTCAAGTTCACTTTGGATGAACTTGGCGATAGTAGCATGTTGGGCATCTCTATTGAGAGCCTCTAGCATGACGCTAACAGCATGGATGCCCATGGTCGAACCCATTCGTTCAACCGCATCCCATTCGACATCGCTCAAATGGGAGTAGCCGTCACGCGTAGCGTGAAAGCTTTGGTCATCTTCATCATCTAGCATAGTCATGTTAGATGTGAACATGGTCCTTGGACGGACTACAAAGTGCTACCAGGTGTAACGGGGCACCCTGAAGATTGTACTGGTAACAGTACAAGCTACTTATTCTGATGACAGAATAAGGCGGTGCCTCGGAACTTCACGTGCACTAGTACGTGCAGAGGAAGACGGTAAGGAGAAGCGAGTACTTGGTTTAAGTAAAAAGTAGAACTGTATTTATAATAGATAATGTCTGCAATAAATCGCTATTTATCTTCATCTAACTGTGTCTAAACACAAATGTGCATATCAACTATCTGCTCACCACTCATTGTGTGCGTCTGTCGTGGCGCGTCTTTGTTGGTTGATATAATGGCCTATATCAACCAATTAGGAACTACTCGTAAGTGCTACAGAACATTTGTCCTTATGACAATATTCTGAGAATATAGCTCTTATAGTTATATTCTATCAACAATTTTTTTATGACTTAAAATGTAACGATTTACTTTTTAACAGGGTGCTTGAGCATTTATTTTAAAGGTGTGCCGATTGACCTCAACTATGACTACAAAATTGTCCGAGTGAAGCAAGGTCGCGATTAAAGCCAATGCCTGATCTGAGTAGTCGTCTTGATCGGAAGAAGACCTACGGCTCGGTCAACTATCCCGGTTGGTGGCCATTACGATAACATTCAGGCTATCATCAATGCGTACGCACAACAAGTATCAATTAGTAAACATTAGCTGTGCGATTTATTGTCAAGGCGAATTCATTCACGTAAACGCTTCAATTCTAAGAAGTCGAAGGCTCAAAAAAGGTATATTTTGACGATGCACTCTCAATCCTCGTTTAACAAAAAATTGTCTGAAAAGCGAATCTCATTAAGAATTAGTGAACACTTTACTAATTGACATACGACTGTTGTGTACGCAAGAACTTGACAACCGCTCCCAGATGTTTGATGTATTGTTCACACTGCGCATGCTGCGATCAGCGCGAGAATGGCCAGAGCGGCATTGATAATGATACTTTACACCCTCAATGTTGGAGACGCAGCTGATCCACCCAAAAACACAGCCAGGACATTCGAAGTCGCTGAGGCATAACAATTCATTCTTAAATCTCCTCGCAAAGTGTGTACCCACTGCAATAAAGCGAGAAATCACTCACTTCCATGATTAGCTGATAGTGTAACGGGGTGAAACGTTACATAACAATTTATAAGAAATTGTTAATAGAATATAACTATAAGAGCTATATTCTCAGAATATTGTCATAAGGACAAATGTTCTGTAGCACTTACGAGTACTTCCTAATTGGTTGATGTAGGCCATTATATCAACCAACAAAGACGCGCCACGACAGACGCACGCAATGAGTGGTGAGCAGATAGTTGATATGCACATTTGTGTTTAGACACAGTTAGATGAGGATAAACAGGGGGTTTATTACAGACATTGACTATCATAAATACAGTTCTACTTTTTACTTAAACCAAGTACTCGCTTCTCCTTACCGTCTTCCTCTGCACGTACTAGTGCACGTGAAGTTCCGAGGCACCGCCTTATTCTGTCGTCAGAATAAGTAGCTTGTACTGTCATCAGTACAAGCTTCAGGGTGCCCCGTTACAGATAGTCATTTACTAGGTCGAGCGCACAATTTATTCAACATTTTACCATATTTCTCTGTACAAAATCTCTTAAAAGTAGATTGTCCTGCTGGAATTCTGGCTTCGTGTTGCCTTTTATAAGCGTTAACAATACGCCACCTGCAAGCGTCTATAAAATCAATTTTTGTCGATTGCTTATTTTTACGCGTTTGCACTATACACGCCGCGTATCTTACTTTAATTTTTTTAAAATTTAAATGTATAGCGTGCTATCCTCTTAAAAAGGTTTGAATCCAGGTATAATTTTCAATTACATGACTTAAATATCTATCAGGAGTCCATGCATGCGGTAAGTTTTCGATGCACCAGATATCGTATTTTTGCTGAAGGATAGTAAGAATCGGACGTATACATAATTATCGAAGAACCAATAAGTGCATATACACATTCGCCTTGAAACATTCAAAGACGATTTCAATAAAAAAGAAAGATAAGTTTAATTTAAAACCGCTCTAATGACCACCACAGCTGACAGGATTTGGATCTTGAACGTCTGAAAAAAACTCCGCACCATATATATTGTCAGCACTGATTTCATTTTTTTGTGTAAGTGGTTATTAGGTATTAAATTGGAAATTTTTGCTTATTATATGTGTCTTAACCTCGCGTCCAAAAGCTTACACCAAATGCCCGCAAAAAATTAGTGTGACACGTGGATATAAGGACTAAAACGTAATCCTATGCCTACAACGAGCACCACAACACCATGAACTCCGACTCGTAACATTATTTAAATTGGTCATCTGGTCTCATAGTCTTCGCCATGAGAAGAGCCCGTGCGCTTGCTGAGAGCAGATGTGCCACTGCCATCGCTGCCTGTGCCCACTCCAAGACCCACCGCTTATCCACTTCACTGCACCACCACCACAGGGATACCTAAGCGATCGAGAGTCTCTGTCGGGTAGAGAGAAGCGTGTCGCTAAATATAGCAAGTGGTTAAATGAAACTAAAGGTTGAAAAATGATTGACAACAGCAAATACAAAAGACGCGCGCTTTTTCTTTGAGTAACTCTCGATAAAAAAATTCTGCGTGCTTTGGGGCGACGTTGGTGGTCAAATCGTGACGATTTTGCTGAAGCGGCGAAGAAGCTTCACGCATCACCACTTCATGCAGGCGGTCAGCCAGGCAACAGCATCAAAGCGCTTCTAAAGGTGCTTTCTGGTTGAGGTCGTAAGCATGCAGAATGGACCGATTGGAAGCATCACAAACTACATGATGAGCATCTCCATCTAGAAAAATCTGGCCTCAAGGTTTCGACTTTGCAGCTACTATCCTTTGCCAAGCATCTCCTGGCCGTTCGGAGCACCCACTTTTTTCACGACAATAGTGCCCGTGGGTGCGCAAGTGGAACTACACGATAGTCCCAACCACCACTGGGTCCACGGTGGCTTCATTATCGTACATATGCAAAAGTCAGGCAAAGGTCTGCTATGTGTCATGCAAGGCACTGGAAAGGAATCAGCAAGAATCGGTAAGCCCACGCTAATTTTTTTATCCAACATCAACTGCACGAATCTGATCAGTGGAGTTCCCGACAACTTTTCCGGTATAATTTCACATCTGAATTTGCAAAAGGAGCTGCTCATTGAAAAGTAGGTAGCATTCCATCTTAACTTTGAGCAGAAAGGGTTTGCGTCCGGTAAGTTTCATGACTCACATGAAGAAAATAAACGAACTCACTTAAACATCGATATGGATAATGGTTGGACCCTGATAAACGAGGATGGAAAATTATCCGGTATGCAGATTTCGTGTCGAGTACGACTGGGATGACTACGGTCATGCAAGTTACTGGAGGGGAATCAGACAACATTCATTAGCCCATACTGATTTTGCTACCGAATATCGACTGTACCTGTCTAGCCTGTGGCGTTCCCGACAGCTTTCCTGATTAAATTCACATCTAATTTTTGATTTTGTTGTTTTCGGCCTGGACATCTTTATCTATAGAACTTATTTGTTGCGCCCGGTTTATCATACGAAATTCAGTGCATTGCTGGTACAGCCAACTTCGTTTCTTGGATAAGTACGTGCCACACCACGTGAAATAATTAATTTAAACCCTTAATCCATTAGCACTTTGCCAAGAACATGATTTATGACACATTTAATACACTGCTATCACAACGCAAGCCACAAAGTTGATCAGTAGGAGACGATACACTTTTTCAAAGACAATCATAGCTCCGAATGCTTTATTTCTAGTTTGCTGACAGCTTCAGACCAACGATGTTTGACATTTCAATTTCTAGCATAATTACTGTCGCGGTCGGTGGCTATCGAAAAATCGCGCGTTCGTTTCTATTATGGGTGGGGTAAATGAAAATACAAAATTTTTAAAAAAGTTTCGCGCTGTGCCTGAGGACTTGGACCTTAAGCAAAATCGTGTCATCGCTCTTTGACGGTAAACTTTCAGAATGGACATTAATTTAGAATCAAATTCGTGGTCGAGACATCTATTAAGGCCAAAAGGAAATGATTTGACATTAAACTTTAAAACATAATAAGAACCGTGACACAAGTCCAACTTGGAAAGAAAACTGCGATACCGTATTTCTTTTAAGCTGTTAGCGCCCCAAAACCCTGATGACGTTCCTATTAAGGAAAGGCAACGAGCATTCCAAAGTAGATTACTTCTATGATTAATTAAAGACGTTCGCATTCTCTGTCATTAGTAAAAACCTGACTTGCACACACGCTTCTTGTAACATTATAATGAGAAGCCTTCAGGTAGGTTGCAGATGCGGCTATACCTGCATCACGACTATACGAAGATGGTGCACACAAGAATTTCGGTATTAGAAACGCCAAGAAGTATATACAATTGTAATCGCAAGGACTGCTTTATGACAATAACAAATCTGCGTAGCAGAAATGAAAGCCATTAATATATAAGTATAATCAAACAGCTTATTTCTACCCTACAATTATAATAATTAGCGTGATCGCATGAGAGTCGCCGATCTGAGTGGTGTGAAAACTTGCAAATCTTTACTTTTTGCGAAATCCATGTAAAAAAGCAGCGTAAACCGCTTTCTTTTACCCGTAAGTGCCATTGTTTTGTTCTCCATCGGGCTGTAATTGCAAGTCTTAAACGATTCTGTCTGATAATACCCTAGCAATGTCCACGGCATCTTATTAATCTCGAATTTACATCATTAGACGCTCTTCCTGTGTACCAAGAAGGTGTAGGATGTCGGACATACGGGAAGAGGTGAGAGTCCTCGTCTAGAACGGAATAAAAGACAGCACAGCCGCTGAAAAAAAGATATGAGCCAGCCAATTTTATTAGACTTAGATTGTGAGAAGGTACTGTGATAACCTCATGCTCCCCTCGTGATATAGTGGCGTTCTCTA